TTTTGAAAGCCACATTGGCATCCGTTATTAAGGCAGCTGTAGGTACTATAGTAACTTTGTTAATTACTAAAAAACATGTAATAGTTATTATATCAAAATCAGTTATGTCAATCAATACAAAAAGGTACAAGCAAACCATTACAATTATAGTCTATTTATTTACAATTAGGTAGAATGAAGAACACATCTGAGCCTGTTTAGGGGTTACATTATTAACATTATTTCTCCATATTTAAATATAATCAGTTTATTATTCATTGTAGTGAACTTATTTTAAAATCCCCACTGTGCTATATTGTAAGTTGATGGACAGTAATAGCGATTCAAACAGTGCTTATTTTAACTTTGTCAACATGATTTATACCATGTAAAAAAAAAAAATCTCTTATTTCAAATATTTACTCTATTCAAAATATTTTGTGCTAACAAGAAATCAAAAACATTCAGTAAGCAATATTATAGATTATAAACATCCAATTTATAAACAAAAACAGATGTTGCTTTTCAAAGCAAAAAAGAGATATTATGAAATAATTATATATACATATATTAGATAAGATATACATATATAAGATAATATGAAATAAATATATATTATATATAATAAAACATTTATTTCACATTTGTAATAAAAAAGGATTTCGAGACCTCCTGTGAGTTTGAATGACCCGTTTCCTTAGAAACAGATTTTATATCATCTGTCAATCTTAGTACAACATCTGATCAGAATTAACATCTTTATTACGCATACTCAGTAGAAATCTGCTCTGATCATCATGTTAACACTTGTGATAGCACTGTATTTAAATAGTCAAGGTGAAAACATAACAAGTGATTAATATATACAACCAGCTTTCTCTCGCTCAGAAGTGGTAATTATGAGATAAACCTTCCATCTGTTCGGAAGCAGAAAGACCCAAAAATCAATTGACAAGGATGTGCAAACAAATCACATAATTGTGCAAATCAAGTGTGATTTATTCCTGTAAATGATAAAAGACAGCCAATTAGCTCAAGTAATTGTTATAAACTGTATAATATTCTGACTGCTTTACTTAAGATGAAGGGAAATTATGTTCAATTAATACCCAACGTGAAATCAAGTTAGTGAGGGGGGAGGAAGACGGCGGCACTCATACATGATATGAATATTAATATTCAGAAATAAGTTAGAATTACAAATCACTAAAGTGCACATCGAGCTTTGAATTAATTAGAACATAATGAAGGATGCTGGTTAGAGGATATTGCTAGATGTATTTTGATACAACATCCTTGATAGCTTATTAGTAGTGATGCAATGGCATCTTGGACAGATATTTGGCATTGACGCCTTCAGCACACGGGTTTGGGCAAATACAATAATATTATGATAGTTCTAACACATGTGCCATGACGGGTAAAAGGCTTCTTCCCCACCTTCCCCACAATTATCATTTCCAAACATATGATTATGCCCCTTAATCAATGCAGTGGGACATTTATCAGTAGTAGGATGTGAAGAATAGTGCTTTTCAATGCCTCTCAATACCGCGGGATGTCTATTTAAAGCAGGGGTACCCAAAAGGTAGATCCCTAGAGGTTGTACAACTACAACTCCCATGATGCTTTGCATGTCTTTAGAATGACAAAGCATCATGGAAGCTGTAGTTTAAAATAAATAAATTAATCAATTTAAAAAAGAAAAAAAAGAAATCGGGGAATCTACCTTTTGGGCACCCCTGATTTAAAGCTTTATGTCTATTATACATTTATTATAAAGTATCTTTTCATATAATAGGATACAGGCCAGTGCCGAAGGCCAGGTTAGTGCACACCTGTCACCCAGTAACACATTGTATGGAAATCCGTATCACGGACTAGTCACTGCTCAGCCATTCTGTAGCCTTCATTCCAGGAGACCATCTGTCGCTTGTTATCGGTTACTAATCTCCTGGCTTTTGACAGTCTCATTGTTAAAGACTTTGACTTAGTGATGCCGGCCTTTGATCCAGGACAGCCGGTTACTCTTATTGCCAGATCCGTGTTCTGATGGCAGGAAGAATATTCCTTATCAAGTTTGTTGCAACTTTATAAAGTGTCATTGGTCCAATCTGGTTTTGGAGATACTAATATAAAGCATTGGCATGCTTTTGTAGAATGCAAGACTTCTTAACCAACAACATATCGCAAGGAGCCACAGAAATACGTTTTTGTATTCCCAACACTATAGTGTTCCTTTAATGATCCATTTTTAGATTCGGCCGATAGAGACAGCACTACTAAACTATACTGCAAAGAATAAGCAGTAACTTTGTATTCTTTGAACAAAGCCCTTTACAATGTCAGTCCTACTTGATGAAACACTTGACTTTAGGAAATGGAACGTCCGATGTCAATCTATAATGTTAACAAAAAGATAAACTTAAATGATTAGGATTGGAACATGAACAGCCTCCTTTAAAGAGGGAGGCAAACTGGAAGAATTGGAGAGATCCGATTGACTACGCTACTGGAAAACGATGCAGTGCCCCATCTTTAATGGCTTATGCAGCACCTGTGCTTGTTGCCTGCTCAGCACTTTTATATTCCTTCCTGAATAGGGTGCTTGTTTTGTCTGGAGCATGATAGCAAATGAATATACATTAGAGGAAGCCAAGTAGGAAATAAATCAAATCTGCTTCATTGCAGGTGCAAATATCTGATAAACTAATATATTTCATCTCCATCTTTAAACATGTCATTTCTGGTAATCATTCAGTACAATGCTCGTTAACTTCTCTTTGCACATCGGAGAATTCCCCAGAATGGTTTTAACACAAATCTCTTGCTGCTATTTTTTTGGTCATTTTGAAGCAAGCAAATTTCTGCACACACAAAATTTGCATACTAAATAGCAAACTACATATCACTGATCTTCTCATTTTAGCATGATTACAGTAACAAGACTCCTCAACCAAAAACCTATTGTAAGGAGTCACAAATGGAAGTTTTTAGCACATATGAAACTGGACAAAATTACCCCCACCCCGTGTTATAGCGTAACTATATAATAGTGTAGGATTTCTTTTTTTAAACTTTAAATTTAGTTATAATGCCTTCCCTACGAGAATTCCCAAATTCGAGAGAAAAGTCTCACTTTGAGGTTATTTCACTAGGGTTTTCTCCCTTGAGACCCACTTCTCGGGACAGAGACCGTGCCGCCAAGAACTATAGTTGCCACTGTATCAATATCCATATCGTTGTTGTAAAGCACTGCAAATAGATTGCTGCAAAATGTCTCTCTAATAATGGGGATACTATAAGCATCAAAACAACTTTAGCTTAATGAAGTGGTTTTAATGTATAGATCATGTCCCTGCAGTCTCACTGCTCAGTTCTCTGCCATTTTGGAGTTAAATCATTTTTGTCTATGTCTAGGCTGTCCTAGTCAGGGCCTCATGCTGCAGCCGCCCGAGCGCTCTGTAGAGAGCCTCAGACGGCTGCAGCTTTGCCCGGGCTGGTGCCTCCATGAGGGCACACCATACGGGCGCAGCATGAGGAGAGGGGCTGACAGGAGGGAAGCGCTCAGCGCTCCCTCCTGTCACTCCCTCACTGTATCGTGGCCGAGCTCTGTATGGTCCACAGGTACAGGGAGCATCTGTCTCCTGTACCCGGCCAGACTAACACTGGGTGTGCACTTCCTTTTAGTCCGGCCGGGTACAGGAAACAAAAGCTCCCTGTACCCGCGGACCATACAGAGCTCGGCCACGCTACAACAGAGGTAGGGGATGGGGGAGAAAGAAATTGATGGGGAGGGAGGAGTGGGGGGGAAGAAATTGACGGGTAGGAGGAAGAAACTGACGGGGAAAGAAAGAAATTGATGGGGAGGGGGGAGAAAGAAATTGATGG